TGTCTAAAGCAGATGTAAGGTCCAATAGGACAAGCAGCACAGAATCACCTACGTCTGTGGATATGAAAATGTCATTAAAAACCTTCAGTAGAGCAGTTTCAGTGCTATGGAGAGATTTGAAGCCAGATTGGAATAACTCAAGGATAGCGTGATCCCCAAAAACTGTTTCAACTGAGACTCCACAATTTTTTCCAGTAGTTTACAGGTGAATGGGAGTCTGGAGACAGGCCGGAAGTTGGACATGACTGAGGGGTCAAGGTTAGGTTTTTTCAGGAGGGGCTGGACAGCAGCATGTTTAAAAGTCTTTGGCACCACACCTGAGGATAAACTGCTATTCAGAATAGCGAGGATAAAAGGACCCAGGGTAGGAAAAACTTCTTTTAGCAGTCGAGGAGGGACCACATCAAAGGGGGAACCAGATGGCTTCATGCTGCACATTACCTGCTCCAGAGAGGACAGAGATATGGGCTCAAAGTGGTCAAACACAGCCACACACTGAGATGGGATGGACAGATCATGAGCTGGTGGAGAAATGAGTGCCCGGGTGTTTGCCACTTTTTCTAAAAAGAAATGGAGGAAGTTTTCACACAGCTCAGTTGAGGCTTCCAGAGGTGAAGGCTCACTGAGGTGTAGAACTGAGTTCAGGGTGGAGAAAAGAACTCGGGGGTTGTGGGAGTTGGAGACAATTAAATCAGAGAAGAATTTACATTTGGCAGCTTTAACGGTTTTCTGATAGTGACGCCAACTCTCCCTTAACATTTGAAAAGAAATTTGCAGCCTGTCCTTCCTCCACCTTCTTTCAGCTCTGCGACACTGCCGCCTAACGGCTCGCGTGACGTCATTCAGCCAGGGCTCTGATTTAAGTTTCGTTTTTCTGGTCTTAAGGGGAGCAACACGGTCCAGAACATTTAAACAGGCAGAGTTGATCTGAGAGGTTAGCTCCTCAGTGGTAAGAGACACCGAGAGCTGTTCGATCCTCTCAGAGTTAAAACCTTCATTAAAACGAGCAGCAGTGAAATGGTTAATGGAATGCGTACGTGCAGGAACGCACGTCTTAGCAGTATGACGGGGGGGGGGGAACTCAAACAATACAGGCATGTGATCTGAAAAAACATTGTCACCGATTTTCAAATTAGAAACAGAGACATCGCATGTTAAAATGAGGTCCAGCGTGTGACCATGTTCCTGGGTAGGACCGTTCACCTGCTGAGCTAAGCCAAAAGAGTCCAATAAAATAGAAAGTCCTTCACTAAGGGCTTCTCCTGACAACACACATGCAAATTAAAGTCACCAATAAGCAAAAAGTGAGTGTATCTTTGTGTGATATCAGCCAAAAAGTCAGAGAATTCATTTATAAAGTCCTTAGAACGAGGTGGGCGGTAGACAAGCGTGCACAGAACCGTAGGAGAGTGTCCGAGTTCAAAAACGCTCAGCTCAAAGCTAGCGCAGGACACCGGGATGGACAACTGTTTACAGGCCAAGTTTGCTTTAAAAACTGTTAATAATCCCCCCCC